ACTTCGTTTTTTCTCGTTTTACGCTCTGGAAGCCCGCCGATGGATTTTGGTCAAAATGTTGATGTTCTTGAATTGTGAGGGAACTTCGCAACCGTGGTCATTGAGGATCACAGGGGTTTCTTTGGAGAGATACGGTGAGGTGACTTTAAGTGAGTCGCGAAAGTTGGTAAATTCGTCTTCACTTCTCGTGTGTCTGTCAGAAAACTTGCCTGCTTGCTTTTATAGCTTGAAGTTAGTGTGAACTGTGCTATCGAAAGGTGCATGACTTAAGATCCAGTCTGTGAAATTCGCCGAGTTACAAACCTACGAAAACACGTCCTCATGAATTTTGCCCAAAATGTAAAGACCGCATATTTCGTCGAAATTCCTCGGTGAGCGCTTTTGAGCACCACTCAGATGGAATTTTGACCAAATTTGCGATCTTTACATTTTGGGCAAAATTCATGAGGACGTATTTTCGTGGGCTCGTAACTCGGCGATTTTCATAGACTGGAGCCTAAGGCCCCGGGCAGACTTCACGCGATTTGATCGTCGCGACTGAATCGCGAGGAGACAACTGTTACAACATCATTCCATGCAGATCAACTTGCATTCGGTTGTGATACTTTTCCAGACCGAAATTTTTGAATGTGAAATGAAAATGAATGGAAATCTTGGCGATTTGGTAGCGACGATTAAGTCGCGTGAAGTCTGACCGGGGCCTAAGTCATGCACCATTCGATAGCACAGTTCCCAGTAACTTCAAGCTGTAAAAGCAAGCAGGCGACTTTTCTGACAGACACACGAGAAGTGAAAACGAATTTACCAACTTTCGTGACTCACTTACAGTCACCTCACCCTATCTCTCCAAAAAGATCCTGTCCTCAAAATCCTCAAAGATCACGATTTTCGTAAAGAGCGTGTTCGAACCTCCATGAGCGGAGTTTCCGCACAATTTAGGAGCATCAACATTTTGACCAAAATCCATCGGCGAGCTTCAAGCGTGGAACGAGAAAGATCAAATAACCCGAAGTTTTCTGAGAATCTGCTCTCACGGTAATCTGACCTGCTGATTACGAAACTCATATCTACTTAGCAAGATAGCTTCTTCTAGGGTTATGACGAATAGAATTTGGGAGACAAGATTCTTTTGACATTACCAAACCTTCTATCTCTTTGAAAAAACGCCTGCGGCTACTTTTAGCGCTCCATAATTTATAGAATAAGTACTATCGAATGGTCCTTGCTGTAATCTACAGGGTTTCCCAAAAGTAAGTACACACTTTTCAATCGTTAATATCTCTCTTCCCAATAGGTATTTTCTTGCCGGTCAAGTACCATTCTGTAGAGGAGGCTTCAACTTAGATTTGCAGTATAGATTGGATCACCGATCGCTCTTAGTTAGTGTAGGATTATGGTAAAAACTTCCAGCATGTGGAACATTATGAAATATGCCATCTGACAAATTTTTTTTCAAAAAATCAAAAAATCGTGTACTAGGGTTTTCGCGCCCACTGATTCCACTACACAACTTTTGCGAGTGTTTTCAGCTTTTTTGACGGTGTAATCACATTTTTGAAAAATACCGGGAATTCGGTTACCACGGTTTACCTGGGATAACTTTGGAAAGAAGCATCACAGTAAAGTGAAAATTTTATATTCGAAATCAGCCGCTTCCACTACCATGGCATAAAAGTTTTGGCTTATTTTGTTATGGTTCCATGGCAGAATGTGGCTTCCAATGACCTAAAATCCTTATCGAAGTTCCTACAGTAGTCCTACAGTAGTGAAGACATTCTACATTTACACTGTTGAAAGAATCGGTGATTCTTTCGACACTGTAAATGTAAGTTGAAGCTTCCTCTACAGAATGGTACTTGAATGGCGGAAAAAGACACAATGCGAAGAGAGATATTAACGATTGAAAAGTGTGTACTTACTTTTGGGACACCCTGTATAAGGGGCAATGCGCGCTGCTTTACAACTTCGCGAAGAGAGGTCTACGAAAAAATCTAGAATGCTGAATTTGTAATATCAAGGACGTGCTGTAGATCGAAAAATTCGCCTTGACGAGCTTAACACAAGTTTGCTTTCGGATCCAGAATATATTCATTCCGAGGGAAGTTATAGTGCTGCCTAGTTTGCATGATTTCCATGATTTTGCGTAATTCTCGTGATTTCGCGGAATTCCTGGTATGACGCGGGATTCCGGAAAAGTCGCGGACTTTCGTGGAATTCTCGGTTTTCCGCGATGTTCACTGGAATTTTGCAGACTCGGTGAGCGGTATTATACCTTGAGCTGATTTCAGAACAAATCCATCAGAATGACTCTACCATGCTCCTACATTATCCCTACAATGTGCCATCAGCAGCAAATCAATGGCAATATTGTTATCATCACACTGGACAATCCAGCCACAGAAAAATCTGCAAAATTAAGCGAAAACGTACTGTCTACCGTATATCTACCTACCCCAATACATTGTGGCACTTCTATATACCGGATGATGCGTCTCGCCAAGCTGAGTCGAACGGCGTCCTTGGAATTAGAATACGTCTATTTTGAAGTGAGATATAGCGATGCGGCGCGGATTCCGGCGCACTCCGCCGCACTCCGGCGCACTGCAGCGCACTGTGGCGGACTATGCTGGAGTGCGGCAATTTTTTTGACGAATAGTGAGCGGTATTGTATATCAAGCGCAAATTCTACTCGTTTGTACATATGCTCTCTAAGGTTTTGTTGAGCTAGCCTTCCCATCTTGTGTTTGTGGCAATGTGGTAGTGAGAAAACTTGGAATCACCACCTTAAACGCAGGAGCAAGTTTATAAACTTTATCGCAGGTTATCAATCATAGGCCCTAACCCGCTGGGAGAAATGTCACATAAATAGTTGTACATTTACCGCTGGGCCGCGCTAACTTTATCTGCCCTCGGATAAAGTTGATGCAGCCAAGTCGGTAAAAGTAGAACTATTTGCGCAAGTAATACAACTATTTGTGTATGTTTGCCCCCACTGAGACAGGATGTCTTTAGACACGATCTCAACAACAAAAGGTTTGCCAATTTTTGGCAAACTTTTAAAGGTTTGCCAAAAATTGGCAGTCAGAGTAAACGTTTTAAAGCATTACTGAGTTTGCAAAGCTAAATCATGCGTCGTGAGGAAGCATGATAAAGCAATTATACGAAGTTTGTTGACTTTACCACCTTGCTTTGAGAAACTAAGTGCATAACATTCTTCAGAACGCCTGAAGCTGTTCGATGCATTTCGAAGTATCAATCGTATTGAAGGAGCGCTTAGGATAAAGAACACAGAAAATCTTGGTGTTGTCGATTTTGTCTCACAGCTGCGCTCTATCGGTCAATGGAAGCTCAAAGGTATGTTTGCCTGCACTGAGACAGGATGTTCTTTTATTACCTTGAAAGTATTTGAGATATGAACCGAATCAGAGTTCTTATGCTCCCAACCTCAAAAGGAGAGTCATGCTCAGCAAATCGGGTGTCCCTCAATTACTTTGAGCTGATCATAGTTGGTTGTGTCGGTGTAGTGCAGCTATAGCGTTCTTAGAAAATCGTGGTTAGGGCTCGGCAGAAGCCAGATAAAAGAATCATAGACGGACCATAAAAAACGCAAACAGCACACCTACTATTTCTTTGAACAGACGTAACGGGACCATATGAGAGGAGAAGGGAAATACGACTGAATGATATCAAAAGCTAATGGTCAGAAATCGAAGTGGCCAATTCAAGCAAACCGTATACTCAGATGTAGCATGAAACGCTGACTCTAAATCTATCTTCCTTATCTGCAGAGCACTTTTGTAGACGAAATTATAAGCCGCTAAAAGCCATTATTTTGCTAAGAATTTGTGCGTGTAAAGGGCAAACATGGCCGTACAAAGCCATTCTCGGCTTAGTGTTCAACTACCTTATCCAGTCCTAAAAGTTCGCTTGTGGTACTAATTTTCTGACTGCCTTGAGGCAACTTTCACAGCTGTTCTGAACATAATTCATCGACGACTTTTTAAACTTGCAGGGGATACGATGAAAAACAGTATCAGAATGTTGAAATATAAAATTGAGGACCGGGCATACTTCCGATTTCTGTCGCGACGCGATTTGGCAATATTCCAGCTGCATAACTCACTGTAAGCATTTTGTATTTTAAATGTGCAGAAGATAGGGCATTTCATCAATTTGCGTAAGTTATACACACTATGCATGTGCCGTTTGCTAGTGATGGGTGTGAAGGCTTCTGGCGAATTGCCAAATCGCGTCGCGACTGAAATCGCGTGAATTATGCCCGGCCCTTTACGCTGAGGGATCCCTTATATATACTTGACTTAATCCCTTACACCTACCATTGAACAGTGGCAGAACATCCTCAGTATCTCCAATTACGGTATAAACTATAAACACTAAAGGTTTTTTTTTCTTTGCAAAAACTCTATTCCGTAATTTTCGCTCTCACAAAAACATGTGGTTAAGATTTCGATCCTCCAGTGTATGTTTATAGAAGGTGATCACTATGTGGCACAAATTTGAAATCAAGATCATCTTACAATTAAATTCGTAAATATGTTACTGCAAAGTGGGCTCTAAAATTGACGCACCGTGTAGTTCAAGTTATATTCAAAGGTTATAGAGTCATGCACATAACGTTCGTGGATATCAGGGCATTGTTGATTGACTATTCTTTCATTGCCAACTTCAAAATTTTTCAAAACGTTTACAGAACCAGCGCTTCAAATTGTGAATAATACTGGGCTATACTCTTTTGATTGTGAATCTCTCATATCGTTATCTTCATCGAATAAAACAGTAGCGCTTTTGAAAGATAATCCTGATATGACTCCTTTCACAAGAAACTGGATGCAACTAATCTTGCATCCTCTTTATTTTGACTTAGAAGATGTTTATGAACCAATATGTAAGTCGTGCTTATTTGCTAGAAATAGGCTTTCATTCTGCAATTTACAGATGGTGATTCTTCTCTGATAGCTTCAAAAGTACTTAGTATATCCACGATTTATGTCGTCTTTCTAATATTTGCTTTGGTGGTAGTTGTAGCTGTACTAAGAAGGATCCACAACATCATTGTGTTGAAGCTAATATCTGAATCGCTTTGTGTAGAGGAAGAAGGCGCTCTCAGTGATCAACAGTTGGAGCGTTTGCAAAAGTACGTACAGGTGAGCATTTTCATAACCATATGCGTTTCTCTATGTGTATGTATCTAGTTAAGGAGGTGCTAAGCATGAGCTTAAATGACTGGATGAACTACAGTGATTCGGTCATCAAACAACCCAAAAAAGGTTTAGTTAAAGATTGCGTGCATCAAAATGATAAGTCGCAGTCATTGTTAAGATCCTGAGTATCACAGGAAGCCGAAGAAAAATGCTGATTTGAGAAAAGCGGAAGCAGCGCTCAGAACCATGAATATAAAAATGAAGAAAAGAAGGAGTCTTGTCCGTCTGGCTACACTTCCTAATGAAAGAGCTGAGTTGAGCTCATGGATGCAGGATAAAAGAAATCGACTTCATCTGACTGCTGAACAAGAAAAAGCATTTGAGATCTGCACAGTGAATTTGTTTTCATTTGTTTCTGCTGATGACAAATTTACATAGAGTTTAACAGCGAAACGACGATGATGACCACAATTTTTCTTGGTGTGGAGATGTGTTCTGTGCATATCACAAGCTTTTCATTGGCGACGATCAAGGAAAAATTATTCGACGAGAGATTCCCACAAAAATGGATGAAGAAAGAACTTTCACAAGTAATGTCGCTTTTTATAGATTTAGTTTGGGTGATTTTTTGATGAGATTTTTTAATCCTTTGCGATTTCGTGCTGCTACGTAAGGCAAAAATGCTCAAGCTTATTACGATTAACATTCTCAGTCAGGTTGCTGCATAAGACAGAAAATTTACAACCTTGAATGTTGCTAACACATCAAATCACCGAGTGTTTTTTGACCTCAAAGAGGTTGTTAGCGCTCTTATTTCTCTGACGAAAGGTTGACACACAACGTTCCAAGATCTTGTCAGGAATCAGCAGAGATCCTTACAGGTTGAATGCCCCGCAGTTTTTGCTGCTTCTTTGCTCGTCTGCGTATCCTCTTTCGCGCGCTACCTCGCTTTCACAAATCGCTCTCTCTGATAACCACTTCTCTACTGTTGTCTCGCTTTCAATTTGACACTCCGTATATTAAGCGAAGCTCTTGAAGCCTACTGACGCGCTTGTGATGTCTTCGAGCTCGATTTTTGAAATCGTGAACCATTTTTCCATGCTCGATCGTTCAGAATGATAAACACGAAGATAATATGAAGTATTTGATATATGGTTATTAGTTAAAAATAAAGCGCTAAAGGTTGGGACAGACTGCGCGGCGCACACGGTGTACGTACGCCCTCGGAAACTGCGCATCAAGCGGGCTTACGCGGGTTTTGGTTTCGCAAAACAAGAGCAGTATTTGGACTTTTCACAAAGTCATGGGTATATTTGACATATTTGACATGACATATATTTGACATGTATGCAAGGCATAGACTTTAGCCCAAAAAGTCAGTAGAAAACCCGGTGTTTTTTCGAAAACGGGGCCAAAACGCAATGAGTGCGTAGGTCGGCGACTTGTCATAATTATACTCAAACAGAGAAGATTTTTGCTCGGAGGTTAAAGGCAGCGTCCCGACAGAAAGATGGGTGCTGGGTTTTTGTGGCGATATTAAAGTTGACCCCCTACCTAAGCGATGACTGAAGTTCGGAGCGAAATAGAGGGTCTAACACGGCTGAAATTTGCACCGAAAGTGACCGAAATTTTACGGTAAGCCCGGACGCCGCCCACACAGCAATATCGATTTGCAAGGCCAGTGTGCGTATAGCGCACACAGTCATGAGCGCAGGGTCCCGCAACAACTCTGCGTCTCTACCTTGCACGCATCTTGCACTCGCCCGAGCCTACCGTAAGATTCGGGCCACCTGAGGGGCGATTTGTAGACTTCGTAGACCCCCTTTCGCGCTGCAAACTTATGTCGTCGCTTAGTTAGGGGGTCCACTATTACATTACTACCAGAGCCAAGTATTCCCAGTTTGGTGGGACGCTGCCTCTAAGCTTACGGTGGCTATCGCATTCATAGCAACTACCAAACCAAAATAGCTCCAGAAAGTAATCGAAACACACATTTGTTAACCTGTAAAAGGGTTTTTTTCCTTTCATAGTCACCGATTTTACATGGGGGGGGGAATTTTTGGAAAAAGCAGTTGTCTGAAAATCTTCGCGCTGGTCAGCGTTGTGCTGTGATCAAAGCCATCATTATGCAAGCGGGAGGGTACATATGCTAGAACCAGTGCGAACCTCTGCGAAACAAAGGTGACGCTGACGCCTGGCAAGCACAATAACGCAGACAACATCGCCGCAAAGAAAAGCGCAAGGTGGGGTTGAGTAAACTCAAAACACGCAGCAGAAGCAGGTAGGCGCCCGTGTATTATGACCAGGGTTGAGCGTGGGGTCAGGCGACCCGACCTGGGGGATCGTATTGAGGGTAAGACTGAGGGCGGGGGGAGGGGGGGGGGTTGTAATTAAGAATCGAATTTCTTAAGTTGAGGAGATAATGCGAAGGTGAAGAAGAAATGCGTCAGTCCGGTGGATATCGCGATCACATGAAGGAATGACGGTCATAAACAGCATACTGATTGTTTCCACAATGGAAGTATCAGCCAAAATTAAAACCTTCATCTCTTTTACCTTGACATATGGGGTCGAAAAGGAAGTTTGCTGTGTGAAATGGGTATCATTTCCATAACCAGCATGTCAAATTACCTCTATGCGCTCTATAAACCAATACCTACTGCAGTTTCTAGTGTTTAACGTCAAAAAAGCGTGGTTTTCAAACTTGGTTTCAACTTGGTTTCAAAAGTGGGAAAAGTCAGCTTTTGTATACTCATAACAAAGTAATGTTCTCTACAAGTCTATGCTACAAATCGGACTTCATACCACTTTCAGACAGTGAAGTAAGAAGTGCTGCTAAAATTCCAACCGGCGCGTTTTTCACGTTGAGTGCTCCAACCCCTCGGATTAGCACAAGGCCGAAACAAGTCGAACCAAGCTCAAACACTTACTGTGGAATCTTTGAGGGTTGAGCGAATCACATAAAACTTGGGTAGAAAAGCTTTTTCGGAAATAAAGTTAATGGGGTCGGGCGCAACCCCTCAAAAGGTCAGGCCGCCTGAGCTTTTGTGGGGTTGCGTCTGACCCTCTTAACTTGCCTTCAAAATGCAAAAATCGCCCCTTTTTTGATATGAATATTGAGCACAAAGCCTCTTCTTGCTATATTGAAAATTGAAGCCAAGCACTCCACCCCTGTGAAAATTATAGCTCTGAAAGGAGGACTATCCAGATTTAAAACTTGCCGTCAAGTTGCGTGTGGTTGTGCAATCGCAGAAAGTCGGACCTACTCAAAAAATAGAAACCTGCGGTAAAGGCTGGTCTTCTTCAAAGTATAATACCCTGAGGTGGAGGTGAAACGGAGGGTCGTTTAGGGGCTTTCAGGCAGGGGGGGGGCAGGTCGTTTGTGAAGGACTTGTGCCTGACCTCTTGCTCAACCCTGATTATGACCCTTGATAAAACAAACCTCCCCGTTTATTACTGGTTTTTTTGTTTGCGTTCTTCTTACAAGAAAACAATACTCAGTGTCCGTGGCCTTTTGAGATGAAATGTTTACCATTAAACTCGTCCTCGAACGCTTATTACGAATCTGAATTGTTTCTGCTAATGGTTTGTCTGAAAAAAAGGTTATGAAGGATTTTCGGGCGAAGCTTGGCCGCCCGAAGGAAATACAATGGGAACACAATATCAAAGGAAATACGATCGGAACTGAAAAACATAAGAGGATTTGTACCTACATATGCATAAACTTGTGAGGCCATCGCACTATCCACTACACCACAGTGGCATTGGTGTTCTCATTGTATTTCCCTTGGGGCCAAACTGCGTGGAAATCCTTCATAACTTTTTTTTAGAAAAACGATTAGCAGAAACGGAAGTAAGATTCGGAATCAGCGTTCGAAGACGAGTGTAATGGTATATATCGTTTCCTTGTTAGCAATCGACACATCCGAACCGCATTTGTTCTGCATTGCAGAAAACAGCTAGTTTTTTCTCGTTTCTTCCGATTTTTGGACCGGCCGATGCTGCGATACAAATGGCGCTAAAAATTGAAGTTATTGCATTTGTGCATCCGTTTTCAGAAGCTTCTTTTGCGTGTGCTACTTTATTAGGTTGTTGCAAAAACAATGTCCATTTTTCTAGGCCTATTCTCCAAGCAACTTTTTTCCATCAAACTCTTTTTCGATATAGATTTTGCAGATCATCGGAAAGCTCTTTACATGTTGTTTCTGAAAATGGTGGAACTAAGCTTTTATCTCTGAAATTAAGCTTTTCTCACCTGTGAGAATTTTACCAACATTTTGCACATCCGCAGTCAAAATAATTACATTGCTTTAACTTTTATGGCCACGAGTCAGACGCGAATGAACAAATTTTTATGAAAACATGCTACTGTGTAGGATGAATGTTGTTGTATAATGCACGTCTAAATAAAATTTTTGGAGTATATCTGGACTAAGAAATCGATGCCCCAAGGTAGATACTCGCTGCTTGGCATTCTATGGATTGCAAAATTTTTCCTGATTAAGGCAATCGCCAAAGCTCCGCCCATTTCTGTATGCAGGTCAGGAATCTTGCCTACAATTTTTGCAGAAAAACTTAGCTATTTAGTGCATGAAGAATTTCAAATTTCCATAGTTTGGGACTTTCTGGCCTACAAATAGGTTCATAAAAGTGAAAATCTTTGATCTTTATCTTTTCTTCTCGCAGACATCCTCGTTAAAGCTCTTCCAATGCAGTGGTGACTACTGGCTTGCATCTATAAAATAAGCTGATTAGCAGTCATAGGAACAAAACTTGAAGGAAGTTGTAATCTTTTGAAGACGAGGTTTTCGAAAGAAAAACATTCGATTTTTGACGCATAGTTTTCTTCCCGTTTGCTATCAGTACTAGCAGGTGCGCGCTAAGTTACGAAGGTTTACTGCTTCTGACGGTCTGATCACAAAAAAAAGAAAGAATGAAGACTCGACAAAGTTATAGCTTTCCAAAATAGAACTTCGCAAAACGGAGATTATTTTTGCAACAACCTATCACATTTCTTTTCTCTCTAGAGTAAGCGCAAAACTCAAAGTTAGCTGTGATCCAATTTTATCAGAATTTTGTAACAAAACCTTTGGCGCAGGTCTGATACTTAAATGAAGTGCATTTACGAGGATAACATTCAACAGCACTTGCTGAACACATTATTCAAACATTATATCATGGCATCAGAAATGATTCTGGTATGCCAAAGACAAAGACAAATGTTTCTCAAATAGTTTCTTGGAGAAGTATTCGAATCCTATGCATAGCCTGTTATGCAAAAAATTACGTTTGCAAAACAATGAGAATCTCGATCAATGCGACATGAGAAGTCACTACTTATGCTCACTTATGTGGCATAGCTCATCAGAACTTGCCATTGAAAAAAACATGCGTAGATCACTAAGATACAAAGCTCTTGACTCAGGTAATGAAATGGCGAAGCAAAAGTTCAGCTTGAATTTTTTGCGTCAGTGGTTTGCGAAATACGATGTTTAGGTTTGGTTGCAACTCGCGAACAATTGTGCTTTCAGAAAACAACGCATACAATCCCGTATGTTGTTCTGCAACACTCTTTGTATACCTGATCCGAATCTTCTTATGAGCACAGTTGCAGCTGCCCTACTCCTCATTCATACAGCAACACTAGTAAAGTCGACTGCACGAAATCGTTCACATCGCTGCAGGCCGAACGCTCGCGAGCGGCAATTCCGTGCAGTCAGCAACAGCTTATGCGAATGATATCAGGTTTAAATGGTGGTCAGATTCACATGCAGTGCAAAGATGCATTCATCCTCGCAACAAATGTTCTCGAATTCAATCTGCTTGTCAGAAGGAAGCAAGTAACGCGTCGCCGCACTAAAATTACGCAGACGTTTATTACAAAACCTATGCTGTACAACGGATGGTGAGAAAAACTTGATTTTGTTGATTGGTGGTGGTTAAACACTTGAAAAATGCATGTTGATCAGTTTCGGCGACATTTTGTGCGGCGGACACTTTCGAACCTAATCACTTCTCGACCTTAGTCACGCAAAACCTTTGGTCAAATTCTTGAAATTCTGCAAAGTCTCAAGGGGAACGTGGAATTTAGTGGCGGAACACTGAGGCATGCTTTCAGAACTCACATGTAGGTCAAAATGTGAGGTTAGGCTATGACGTAGTGGGACGGAATTACCATCACCAAGATCTGACAAGGCGTCTTTTTGAGCCGCTTTTTTGATTATAGAACGTCTAAAAGGCGTAAAACCACCTTGCGAAAATAACGTACTCATCTTAACTTTACGGAACTGCCATAGAAATGCATGGCTCTTCTGTCTTGAGGGCGCAATTTGACTATGTCGTCATCAGTCATGTTGTTTGCGACTTTTATTTGTTGATCGTACTCATTAGACACTGCGTAAAGTTGTTTCAGTATGCAGCTCAAAGGCAGTATCCGGGTAAAACGATTTTGAGATCTTGTAAAGTGTGGTTCATAATTATACGAACACCCAAAATTTTGTAAGTTTTCGGACTTTTTGGGAGGAACTCAAAAAGCCGTTGATACCACGCGATAGAACACAGCCGAAAACGGTATATGATCCATAAGAATGGAAACTGATGTCAATCTTAGGAGTGTTTTTGCGCCTAATGCGAATTTTTAGCGGTTCATAATTATACGAACACCTCAAACAAAGGTCCATTTTTCATTCAAAATTGCAATTATTTGAGTCCAAATTTTTTGTAGAGTTCCAGTAACAAAGTCTGACATATCTGCTACACACTGAACCCACTGCAGTTTAAAAAGAGGACCGTTACTTTTTTCAGAAGGCTCTAAATGCTCTTGAAATGATTGCGCTCCAAAAATATCCGTTTTTCTGTGGCTTCCGCGCTCTAATTACCTTCGACCAAAACTATGAGATAAAATAAGCTCTTTCGATAGGTATTTTGTTTGACGCTCGGAAAATCTTTGCGTTTTCGTGCCGTTTTTCAACCAAGTTCCAACCTTACTTTAAAGTTAGCACGATTTCGAGCCTCAAAACTCAGCTTCTGAAGCCGTACAATGAAGTAAGCATATAGTATGTAGAAGTTCACAAGACTGTATATTTGGCTAGAAAAAATCAGCAGCGTTGAGCGTTTGTTTTGGCCACGCAGACATCATTTTCCCAAAAACACTGTTTTTACTATTGCATCACATATTTATTTAATTTGTAGCTCCACAGCCTCAAGAACAGTTCTACAAAAACCCAAAAACTTTGGTACAGAAACATCATCATGCAAACAATGCAGCTGCTTCATATCAAATGTTTGCACAAGAGAGAAGCTGAGTTTTGAGGCTCGAAATCGTGCTAACTCTAAAGTAAGTTGAAACTTGTTTGAAAAACGGCATGAAAACGCAAAGATTTCCCAAGCGTCAAACAAAATACCTATCGAAAGAGCTTATTCTATCTCATAGCTTTGGTCGAAGCTAATTAGAGCGCGGAAACCGCAGAAAAACGGATATTTTTGGAGCGCAGTCATTTCAAAAGCATTTAAAGCCTTCTGAAAAAAGTAACGGTCCTCTTTTTGAACTGCACTGGGTTGAGTGTGTAGCAGACATGTTAGACTTCGTTACTGTAACTCTACAAAAAATTTGGACTCAAATGATTCAATCTTGAATGAAAATGGACCTTTGTTTGAGGTGTTCGTATAATTATGAACCGCTAAAATTTCTCATTAGGCGCAAAAACTCTTCTACAATTGACATGGATTTCCATTTTTAAGGATCGTATACCGTTTTCGGCTGTGTTCTATCGCTTTTTACCAACGGCTTTTCAAGATTCTCCCAAAAAGTCCAAAAACTTACAAATTTTGGGTGTTCGTATAATTATGAACCGCACTTTATTACCCGGGCCTATTCGCTATGCCAAATCCGAAAATCTACATTGGAGAGAGGCGCAAAAATGGAAGAGCTCTAACACAGAGTAATCAGCAGGTGGGCGGGATCTTTCCCACTGTGAATTCACGCTCTCAGCTTCCGGAAGTGATCTTCTCGGTTCCGATCATAAGTCAAGCGTTCGCACTTGGCAGGAAGCATCAGGACGGTTAGGAATCAAAAAGATTGCTCCGGAAGCCGGGACATGATTTACAGTGGGGAAAACTCCGACAGCTTTCGATTTCTTTCCTGGTTAGGGCCCATCTTCGCCGTTTTCGCGCTTTCCGGTGTGGATTTTCGAACTCAGCATAGCGAATAGGCCCGGGTAAGCACAAAACCTCGACTCTTTGCCCGGACACTGCCTTCAAGCTCATGACTACTCACCCTTCCTCGAACTCTACAAAAAATCTCATGCGAAGTGAAATCTTTCATGATCAAGTAGCTTCGATCGGTTTTGCGGAGTTCTGCATAGTACATACTATTCATTTACTAGACAGAGAAATCATAAGATTTGATGCCAAATTTTGGGGTTTGGTGTTCTTTATCAATGTTTAGTTACCCTGATCTAACGAGCGGGCCCTCTGACTTTTTCGGTCGCAGGCGATCCTCCTCGCTCGCACCCGGGTCAGCGATCCCCACATGGAAATCAAGAGTTGGCCGAGTACTGCTCTTGTAGGGGAAAAATTTTTATTACTCGATCAACAAAAAGAAGAGAAATAAACTCTGCACATCCCGTACGGATATGAGAAGAATGTCCCGTCTTCGTGCGCCAGCGGAATACGTTGCGAAACTGAAACATCGATGAGCCGTCACATCATGAGAAGAACGGATGGCAGATGGACACTAGAACATCAGAGTGGATTCCTCGTGAAGCGAGGAAGACCTCTAACGAAACGGATGGACCAGCTGAGAAATCAGCTGGATACGATTACCGCACCTGGAACTCGTAAACGCAGCCACGGACGGCAGCCAAGAAGATCGTGGTCTGAAGCGAGGGACAGGGACAAATGGCAACTTTTGTGCTGGGACCCGAACGCCACGCGAAGATGGACCACTTAAGTATCTAACAATAAGTAAGTAAGCAAGTATGTATCACTACGCTAGTGTAAGCGTCCACAGCATGCTCAGCGTAAGCCATGCTCTGGCCCAACCGTCATACGGCAGATGAGCAACATGTGCATCCTGCTTATTCTAAGAAAAACGTGAAAACAGTTTTCAAAGCTTACCCAACACTGTAACGAGAAATCTCCCCCTTACCTTTGAGCGTTCGCAGAAAAGAACATATGTTAATTTGGTTCAATCATACTAGAAGAAATCCAGAATGAACTAAATCCAACGAAAGATAGGCATGAAAAAAGTTAGAGGATGCAGTCTCGCAACTCCTGCCATTGCCATACTCAATATGAGGCGCTAGGTGTGGTTCATCGCATTAAGAGTTCATAATACTGCAAAATTTAGAAAAGGTTTTATTTTTTCTATGAGCAATTGGTTCTTCTCATTCATCCTTCGTTTCGGAATTCACAAAGACTTAGATGCAGAATAAGTATTTGCACACTTCTCAATCAGTTACACAGCTTGCTTCCAGTAACTTGGAACAATGTAATTCAAAGCTTTACCATCCCGATACTGGTGTCAGTTTTACTGTTTTAAGTGTAAACGGGTGCACACTTATAGTAGAACGTACTAAATTGAGACTTGGTGCGCAAGCTAACACATTTGTAAGTTTATCTTCCATAAAATCAATCTGGGTGCACAATATCAAAAAAAATTTTTCACAAACTTTTGATGGCATGCACTCAGCAGCCTACCTTAGCTTAAAACTCCCCAAACATGCATTCTCATGTCGACTGTAATCCCAGTCGCAAAGTCGCGAAAAGGCAAAAGTGTGTGATACTTAGTAACTACGATAAATGCAAAAAGGTTTCACAGGCTGAGTACTCAACTTTGATATAAACACAATTTTGTCCACCATTTCCTAGTGGCCAAATGTAGTAAATATCACATTCTTCATTTCAACAGACTAGGCGCTTCTGTAGTTTTAGCAAAAATATATTGACATTGTATGAGCAGGCGTTGCTAACAGAAGCAATATGTTGTTTTTTCTAACCAGACAGTATGAGCTTCTCAGTTCTCTACAAGCAGTTATTGTCCGTTCGTCTTTCGAACAAGTTAAATTCGTGAAAGAAGTTCTGTTTGACGTCCCGTCACTATCAAAATATCATCGATTCTCAGATTCAGATTGAGGGTTAGCGGTTTGATAACCTCGATAGTCCTGTTCAATTTTTACTTCAAACGATTGCTTTTCAAATTTTTCCCACAGAACAGTCACGCTATATACTGTCACATCTTTGTCTATATCTGAACCCTGACAATGTTACAACACTCTTTGTATACGAAAAACATTGGTAGTTCTAGCAGTAGGAATCAATCTCACATAACCCTACTCCCCACGAAAGACTCTTCAAATCTAGTTTACACTACATTTGACGATTTGAAAGGTTTTCCGAATAAGCTTCGAAGCGTAACTCCAGAATGCTGGGGGAGTTTCTTTATCATGCTATAAATTTTATAGATTGTGTTCAGGCCTGATGATGGTTTTCCGAAAGATCTGAAAGCATTACAAAAAGTTATTCTCTCGATAGCAAATTCAAAACAGCCTACGGTATCATCCACTAATAATTTTAGAGCTTTGGAGTAATATGATCGTTTTGAGATTGTTATCGGAAAGTCTACTGACGCTTCATGCGAGCTGTTTTGGATGATGAATCTTGTCGTAAAAGCTGTCTTGGGAAGAGCATCGACAGCGCGGCTTACATCTGTATTGGAAGCCTGCATAAGTACACGTCACATGTTGTATATTAGGTTAATCCCAAGCACTTATATCTATTTCCAGTACTATTGAGTCCGGCATACCTGACCTCGCATCACTTTCTTTATCTGCTTAAGTTTGTTCTGAGTTGGGCGTCAAGTGTGGGTGCTCTAACTGAGCAGCAGCGCGAGGTATGTTGATTTCAAGATTTTTTCAAAGGAGCATGAAGTGCAGAAGGTTCTCGTATCTGCGTTTTTTGAAAACTTTAGCTTGACATCCTGCTACGGAAGGGTTCTTGGCACTTGCCTACAAGCGTGCACGGTAAACCTAAAGAGTCTGACAGACTGCCACATCGCGTAAATTAACGAGTTGTCGAAATCGTGGATAAATGCCTTAACCCTTATATCGACTAATGTCAGATCCTATCCCCATAGTTCCTGTATCGTTTCCTCTATACGATGGTATTTTTATAATCGGGATGCTCGTTTATCCCCTTCTCCTTCCTTTGTACACACTCGCAGCACTTAGCTCAAAGTTCGCAAAATGCCGATCAAATTGTTGAATGTAATTTGTGGTTTACCAAATGCTTTTGCAGCCAGCAATGCTCGCTCCTGTACCAACTCTTAGCGCCTCGGCTTGAAATTCGTCAATCAATACGATATCAATTAATGAAAATTAGCTTACGACGAGACCCGAAGTGCATGTGTGCAAGGCCTGGTCCAAATCATTTCTGCGGAAAAGTTTCTGTTGCAAAACTGGTAAGCAGACAAAGAGACAGAAAACATGCGCCTTCTCAGACAATCGCTCAGAGCCGTTTCAAGGGCATTTTTAGAGGCCTCCGTGGTCCTCCTCCCTCCTCCCACCCACAGCGGGTTTCCCTACCGAGGGTTTACTGTAATTAGCCCTAAATTAAGCTTAGCATACTGTAATTAGCGCTAATTGAGCTACAAATTCCAATTGTAGCTAACCACACCCAAGCATAATACCGCTCATAATTCGTCACTCCAGCGGAGTGCGCCGCAGTGAGCTAGTGCGCGCTAGAGAAGCAAAGTGCGCCGCTTTAGACTGGAGTGCCCGGAATTCGCGTCGCAACACCATATCTCGCTTCAGAATAGACGTATTCTGATTCCAAGGATAACATTCGATTCACCACGGCGAGACGCATCATCTGGTATATAGAGATGCCACAATCTGTCGGGATTCAGGGTACGGTAGGTATACGGTAGACAGCAGGTTTCCGCTCAGTTTTGCAGATCTTTGTTTGGTTGGATTGTCCAGTGTGCTGATAACGATACTGGCATTGATTTGCTACTGATGGCACATTGTAGGGATACTGTAGGAGTAAAGTATAGAGTCACTCTGATGAATTTATTCCAAAATCAGCTCAAGATATAATACCGCTTACCGAGTGTGCACAATTTCCGAAAGTGGCGGAAATCGAGAATTCCGCGAAATTCCGCGACTTTCTCGGATTTCCGCGACATTCCAGGAATTCCGCTAAATCATGGGAACCCTCGAAATCACGGGCATGACGTAAATTACGCAGCTCCATGACTTCCTTCGGAACAAGTATATTCTTATATATATCTCTGCAAAACGACCCTGTACTTCACAGAGACGACGAGCTTCATAAACAGGGTGTTCGAGAACCTCTGTGAGCGGAGTTTCCTTTCAATAAAAGATCATCAACTTTCGACCAAAACCCATTGGCGAGTAGAGCGACGAGAAAAAAAAGTAACTCGAAGTCCCCTGAAAACTTGCTCATAGGGGTTACCTGACCTGCTGCTTACATAATTCATATCTGCTTGGCGGGATAGCTTCGTATTCTAGGGAGTTAAATGAGTAGAATTTGGGACTACAAGATTTTTTCACAATTCACCAGCCCTTCTATTTCTTTTAAAAACGGCCTACGGTTACTTTTTGGAGCTCAATAGTTTACAAAACAAGTACTATCGAACGGTTTTTGCAGTAGTCTACGGGGGCAATGCGTACTGCTTTAACCTTTGCGAAAAGAGGTCCGTAGAAAAATTTAAGAACACAGAAATCGTAATATCAAGGACACGCTGTATATCGAAATCGCCTCCATGAGCTGAGCACAGTGTTGTTCCCGGATTCAGAATATATTTATTCCGAAGGAAGCTACGGCGAGTGGAATTTGGAAACGCGTAATTTTTCCAGAATTCACCAACGCTGCTTTTCTTGGAAAAAAGTCTGCGGCTACTGTTTAACGCACGATAACCTACAAGAACAGTACTATCGAATAGTACTTACAGGAATCTTTTATGTTGGATAAGCGCTGCTTTACACCTATGCGAAAGGACCTCCGCAGAAGAATTCGAGAAAACTGGAAACGGAATACCGAGGACATGCTGTAGATCTAAAAATGTGCCTTGACGAGTTGAACGCAATGTTGTTTCCGGATTCAGAACATATTCATTCCAAAGAAAGTTATGGTGCTGCGTAGTTTGCGTAATTCCCGTGATTTCGAGGATTCCCATGATTTAGCGGAATACCTAGAATGTCGCGGAAGTCCGGGAAAGTTATGGAATTTTGCGGAATTCCCGATTTCCTTCAGGAAATTTTGCACATTCAGTAACCGGTATTATACCTTGAGCTGATTTTGGAATAAATCCATCAGAGTGACTCTATCCCTCACTCCTATGGTACCCCTACAATGTGCCATCAACAGCAAATCTATTGTTATCAGCACATTGGACAATCCAACCAAAGAAAAATCTGCAAAATTGAGCGAAAACCTACTGTTTACCGTATACCTATCTACTCCGACACACTGTGGCACTTCTACATACCAGATGATGCGTCTCGCCAAGCTGATCGAACGGTGTCCTTGGAATCAAAATACGTCTATTCCGAAGCAGATATGGCGATGCGACGCGGATTCCGGCGCATTCTAGTGAGTGCGGCGCATTCTAGCGTTTTTCACTCTTCATTGCCTCAGTAAAGCTCCTTTCGAAAGCTGGGCATCTTTGAGGTAAATGGATGCCCATACTCTTCAAAAAATGTGGAACATGGGGAAAACGATTACTATCTGCCCCAGAATATACCCGTTCCTCATGATTGAGAAAATTAACTCGACAAAACAAACAAGGTTTAACAAGTGAGTCATGCACAAGGCGATGCTTGCACTTTTTGACCCACAGTTGGTACTCTGACAAGCAGTGACACTAACCAACTACCTGTAATCACAAAATGTTTTGTCCAAAAGTGGTGATCTACTGCAGAATTTCGGTCCATGTGATGTGACGCACTCCCAGCAGGAAGAAGCAGAAGTTATAGACTACTTTACCTAAGTTCTATGTCAGGCCATTCAAAAATGGCTCCTTGTTGAGTTTTTGAAGAGTAAGGGCACGCACTTACTTCCGGGGTGCCTAACTTCCAAAAGCTTGATTGAGGCAATGCAAAACTGGAAAATACGAAAAAATTCGAGCCTAACCCGCATTAGCTTGTGAGGCTATCTCACTAACCACAACACCACAAAGGCTTTCATCTGAGAACATAAAACAACGAATATGGCCAAGTTGTCTCTCTGCAGACAGATATGAAGAAAAAATGCGCAGGTCATTGACACCCATCTGCGCCGCCACTCCAGTTGACAGCTATGCTCCTACTGCTTGCCAGCACTGTACATAAAAAAATCATAATGACCCGTACAATAGTTGCATTTTTCATCAAGAAATTGAAAAAGGTGAAAAATAAATGCGGTTGTAGCTATGACATATAGCGCAAGGAAGCGTGAGAATAAGTTAAATTTATGAGCGAGTTTTAATCAGTAAGAAAACAGATTGTCCTGCTGTAGACAACACAATAAAGTGTCCTGTCAAGTTCATTTGCTTGGTTAAGGGCATAAATGACTGGAGGAATGAATACCATGCCTTGGAAGCAAAAGCTGAAGCAAGATTGTACGGAAGAGCTTACTTAAGAGTCATGTAAGTCTAATTCTGTGGTATTGCTGTTTCATAAATCTTGTTACACTTCAGTGTCTTACGACGATAAGGCCTAAACTTCATAATTTTAATAATTTATATTTTGTATTTTGATATTATATTTTTTTACTAGCGACCCTACGGGTCGCTAGCAAGTGGATTGGGTCAGATACATTTGAAGCTGCAGCATTCTTGCGACTATGAGTTACAACAAACAGATCTATCAATTTGACGATTTTTTTCACCTAATATGATAAAATAGGAGTTCGAGACTGTTGCCACAATACCGTACTTTTAAAGAAATAGGCATTAAGCAATGAGTGTATAGCTATAATTCAACCTTTGTTGTTGTTACTGCAAAAGCATCTTAGCAAGAGCTGGATCCATTTTTTCGTATTTGGAATCACCACCAATCATCTATTATGTAGCACATCTGATCCGAGCCGAAAAGCAGCTCATCTTCTAATGGTGTGCCTCTCAGCCGGAAAAGCGCTAAGCATGATAATCGACTAAAGCTTGCACATCGCTTTTTCTGTATCTACAGAATTATCGTCAAAATGTTAACATCCAGAAACTAATTTTACGGATTTCGTGTGTTCTTTGTTCGTAAAATCTTGCATTTCTTTCTTAACAAACCTGCGTGGCATGAAAAACTTCAAGTTGATCTCACATTCTGAAGAGCCGCTAAAATATTCTCTATAACAGTATCCTGCCTCAGTCATCATTGAGCAGTCATTTAGCCAGAATCTGCTCATTGCTGGGTGTGAAATTAGGCAGTGTCCAAGCAAAAAGTCGATTTCGAGATTTTGTGCTTACCTGGGCCTATTCGCTATGCTGAATCCGAAAATCAACAGCGGAGAGCGCGAAAACGACGAAAAAAGCTCTAACGGAGGAGGGAAATTGAGTGGGCGGGGCTGCTCACATAGTGGCGTCACTCTTCCAGCTTCACGGGCGATCTTCTCGCTTTCGCTAGTCGTCCTATCATCACCACCAGCCGACCGAAACGCATGACATAAGATCGAAACCGAGAAGATTGCTCCTAAAGCCTGGGAGAGTGACGTCACTGCGTGGACGGCCCCGCCCACCTCCGACTTCCCTCCGGCGTTAGAGCCTTTTTGCGCCGCTTTTGCGCTTTCCAATGTGGTTTATCGGATTCAGCATGGCGAATAGGTCCGGGTAAGCACAAAATCTCAAAATCGACTTTTTGCTTGGACACTGCCTTCAATGTGGTACTCCTCAGAGACGAGGCCTTTCGAAAATTCATAACCAAATGTTTAGCGAGATCAAAGTGTACAATTTGCAGCTTTGGAAGGATAAATAGAATTACCTCAAACTATTTGAAAAACTCATGAAAAGCTGCGAAAGATATTTCGTTGAATGTGCATTGTCGTAGAAATTGTCAGGTCTTTTCCAACAAGAAAAAGGTTTGCACATTTGAATTCGGGGAGCAGAATAGTGTTTTTCTAAAGTTCCAGTGATTGTCAGGAATCCAAAGGATTAAACTCAGAGACCTTCTCCCTAGAAGTAGCGCGAAACTCTCTTCCCTAGAATCACATACAGTGTAAAGAATTTCCCTTTTCATCGCAATGCTTTCTGCCAAACTGACGCACCTCCCCGCCCCCTCCCCAAATTCCAGGAAATGCATAAGATTTCCTTTCTTGAGGCATCTCTCTAGAAGTGAGGCGGAAGCCTCCAAACACCCCTCGCTTCCCCTTTCAGAAGCACCGCCATCTCTGCCACATCCTGAAGTTCTTTGCAGTGAATCCGATGCCTTTGACATTTCCAGGTTTCCCTCCAAAGGCCTCAGTATCCTACCAGAAGTACGGGTATAATTTTACATCCTCAAAAGTCCTTGCAAAAAAAACCGCTACTGGGTGAAACGTAACCCTTAGACACCCCTTTTTTGAAAAACTATACGGATTTTATTCAAAATTACAAACTCTGCACAGTGAATCTTCTAGTCAAATGATGCGGACCCTCCCTCTCACCCTCCTCCCTTGGATTCCATGCAAGGTCTTGAAGCTTCTCTTTAGATGTGACGCTAAACGCTTCAGACCCCCCTCAGTTTTCTTCCCAGCCGCCATTTGTCTCACAGTCATTATAGTAATTCAATTCAATTTTTCATTCCAATGCTATATGAGGATAAGAAAGCAAAGCCCCTCAAATACCCTCCAATTCTCTTACCAAGAAAGCAAGAATTGCTTCCAAAGTCCATACAGTGCGTCAAATTTTTTTACACTTGAAGGCCCGATGTGTATCAGACTTCTGTTGTGAAACTCCACATGTGCAAAGAGTTTCACTTTTACTTCAGGATTTCTCGCTGGAAGTGAAGCGGTTTACACCCTGCAATTCCACGTAGTGCAAAGATTGTCAAATTTTGGAGCTTCGCTCTAGTGACGCCGAAAAACCTAGACACTGCTTGGTTTCCCCTTTCAAACGTGTCTCCTTTTCTACCACATCCTATAGATGTTGCGGTACACCCAATGTCATCAACGCTTCGAGAATTCCCTCAAGAGGAGACGCGGGACCTCAAGTACCTCAATCTCCCACCAGAAGTACTGGCATCTCTTACCAATCTTTGAAAACCTTTGCATCTCCAGAAGTGACGGAATCCGTCAAGACACGCCTTAGTTCTCCTATTACAAGAAGAGGGATTTTACGAATCTCTGTTTGTTTATGTAGTAACGAATATCTTCAACACTCATAGGCCCTGGGGTTAGGAGCCCTTTAGTCACCCTTCAGTTCCTCTGGCAAAAGGATCCTTATTCTTGCAAATCGAAATTCCTATCGGGACTATACATTCCCGAAAGATCCACAGTGAACCCACAGCAACGAATGTCATTAACACTTTAAGGCCTCCACGCCAGTGACGCATAGTTTCTTAGGCATCTTCAAAGCTCTCCTTGCAGATAAACTGCAATTTAGTCACAACGATTTTCCATACAACAGAACAAGCGAATATCTTTCACTTCGGCTTCGCCTCGAAAGTGATGCAAAACGCATACAGTTTTCGCCTCTCAAAAATCAGTGAAAGCCGTCATTCCTTTCAACAAAAATCCAAAATATTAGATTGGTACAAAAATAATGTCCGTTTATCTAGGCCTACTTTCCGAAAACTTTTCCCTTCAAAATTTCTTTTTTGGTATAAATTTCGTAAAACATTGGGAAGCTTTCTTCATGTACTTTCCAATAGTGATGAGATTAAGGTTCTACCTCATTTGTGAGAATTTCACCAGCATCTCGCACAACTGCACTCAAGATTGGAATTTCATTGCTTTAACTTCCTTGGCCACATTCATTCGTAAACGGACAAATTCTTTCGAAAACATAGCATCTGTAGGGGATAAGTGTGGCTTACTCAATGCATGCGTTTAAGTAGGTTTTTCGAGAATATCTGTATTGAGAAATTGACGCCCCCAACATAAATACTTGCTGCTGGCATTCTATTGGTCAAAAATTTCCCATGATAAGGCAATCGAAGAAGTTTCGCTCATTTCTATAAGCTTGAGATTAGTATATCTTGCCCACAATTTTTGCGGAGAAACTCAGCTATACAGTGCATGAAGAATTCCAAATTTTCATGATTTGGGACTTTAAAGTCTACCACAAACAGGCTCAAAAAGATGGACAATGTTGAAGCATTATCTTTTCTTTTCGCAGAACTCTTTTGTCGAGGTTTCCTGTACATACGTATACTACTGGCTTGCGGCTACAAAAAGAGCTGATTACCAGTCATAGGAACAAAACTTGAAGGAGTTGTAAGGTTTCCGAGGTCTTTAAAAGAGAACCTTTCGGTTTTTTGACGCATGGTTCTTTTCCCGTTTGCACTATCAGTATGAGCAGGTGCGCGCTAAGTTATGCGAGGCTTGCTACTTACGAATTTTTGACTATGTTCAAAAATAGGAGGACCGAGCAAAGCTAAAACTTTTCAAATCAAAACTTTTCAAAACGAACATTATTTTTACACCAACCTAATAAATGAGCAAGTAGTACTCACAGTTCAACGATTTCCAGTAGTGAGCGAGATATCTAGTTTCCAAGTTTTAGTGTGACCGACCCTACAGACTACTCGGGTACCCGCGGGACCACAGTTTGCAAGCGGTAGAGTTTTGGGCGCAGAAGTATAATTTTTCCATTGCCTTCGATTTTTATGCTTGGATTAGAAAATGGATTTTCTAATGTCTTCGATCTGTTTGAAAAATTGTCAGGAGAGATCTTTTGTGTAAAAGCGACATACCCTACAAACTTTTCAGGTACCCGCGGGACCACAGTTTGCAGTGTTCTTGAGGCAGAAGTAGAGTTCTTCCAATGTATACGATTTTTATGCTCGCATTAAAATGAATTTTCTAATGTCATCTGTTTGAAGAATTATCAGGAGAGATCTTTTGTGTAAAAGTGACCGACCTACAAGCTATTCAGATACCCGCGGGACCAAAGTTTGCAGGCGGCAATGTTCTTGAGGCAGAAGTAGAGTTTTTCCAATGTATTCAAATATCATGCATGAAGCAGAAAGAATGCCAAATATCTTCGATCTGTAGGACCGTCCCTACAAACTATTCGGGTACCCGCGGGACCAGAGTTTGCAAGCGGCAATGTTCTTGGGGCAAAAGTAGACTTTTCCTTGTATTCGAACTTTATGCATGGAGCAGAAAGAATGCCAAATATCTTCGATCTGTAGGACCGCCCCCACAAACTATTCGGGTACCCGCGGGACCAGAGTTTGCAAGCCTCAATTTCTCGAGGCAGAAGTAGAATTTTCCTTGTATTCGAACTTCATGCATGGAGCAGAAAGAATGCCAAATATCTTCAATCTGTAGGAAAAATCATTGCGAGAAGCCATTTGTGTAAAAGTGACCGACCTACAAACTATTCAGGTACCCGCGGGACCACAGTTTGCAAGCCTCAATTTCTCGAGGCAGAAGTAGAATTTTTCAAATGTTCGATTTTTATTCAAAACCACGAAAGATTTTTTGTGTAAAAGTGGCCAATCCTGAAAACCGTTT